TATGAGAAAATCTATAAAAGCAACTAAATTATCACAAATTCAGAAGTGAAAGCTAATGCAAAAAAAACCCCACGTTAGAATGTTTGGGAACATGTTAACATGTTCCTCCTTCAATGAGAGCATAGCTAATATGCTTCAGTTTTACTTTATCTGACAGAGTATTTTTCATTTTATTTTATATCTGTAACTGGCAATGCACTGTAAAAGGCAGATGAACAATGTGAACTGCCTAATTAAGTGAATGCATAATTAACCTAATGAGAATAATCCATTTTTATAATGAAAAAGAAATCATTAAACAATTTAGAGTTATTAGAAACAATGTATTATTCAAAGGAAGCTATTTTTAAAAGAGGTCTCAATGGTGATTAATAAAACAGACTTAATATGAACATCCCGTTGGGTTCTCGACTTTCCCATTCCAATTAAGCCACTACAAATGTAAGGGAGAAGGGACTTCTGTACATGCATTTACCTTGAAACCTACTTTCTCTTTTTTTTGCTAGTCCATTTTCTTTATGTTGAAGGGAAGCCACTACATGCACTTTAAGAGGCGTGGTAGCAAACCCTGGTTTTAGCAAACAAGCTAGCAGCTTGTTGGCTAAATAAAAGTGGCAGGTTTAGCAGAACTTGCTTTAGTGTGGTTTTCATTATTATTATTATTATTATTATTTTTCTTTTAAACAGCAAATTATAAAGGAAATAAGGCAGTTTAGGAGGCAAAACGTTTGGATGACTTAAATTTCACTGTAGATTTATGGGGTTATTTTTTTTTGTTTGTTTGTTTGCTTGTTTAAGTGAAACCTAGTACACAAAGCCTTCAACAACTTCAACCTCCTAAATTACACTATATCCTAGTAGCCATCTCAATGAAAAGATATGAAGAATTTAGGGTTTTTATTTTCAAACAGATGAGCACTTAAGTGTTTCACTGTTTGAAATTCATCTCATCTCTGTGCACTAACAAATTTTATACAGAATATTTCTTCAACTTCTGAGATAGGCTTAGTGGAGACAGAAATATATCTTTACTTCCTTTGTGAGTGGTCAAATAACCCCTGGGCCATAATGGCACCGGTCTGACCTGGCTGAATATTCCTATGTTTGGCACATTTGTTAACAAATTGAACTTACTGACTCTTTAGATCCCAACATGTTCTTCAAATATATATACAAAAATTCCTTTGGATTGGATTAATTCATAGGTGTCTGGTTTCTCAGTTTCACACCTGGATTCATCCCTCCTAACCACGGCATTTAATCAAGGCAACTGGGTTAGAAAGAGTTCTCTTAATGGTCAATGGAGACCATTTCAATTATGTCATCAATTTTTTGATGACAGAAGCCACTGAGGTCTTGCAGGATCCAAAATGGCATACTTGAGTTAAATGTTCAAAATAACATGGGATTATAAGAGCCAATACCATGAGTAGGTGTGGGTAAGCCCCTTTGAAGAAAACTTTAAGGGGCAGGGGGAGGAGAAAGGAAAGGAAATGCAAAAATAAATAAGCATTTATTAAGGTTTAGTCCAAACTGTTCATTTTAAGTTTTCTTAAAAAAAATGTATTAAATCTATCTAATTAAAAGCCTCAGACTTTAAAGGAGCACTCAAATATAGTATCTGAAATAATTTCTGCCAGTGTTTTAGTTTTAAAAATTGTAGGATGTGCCAAAAATAGTATTTTCATTGACAGAGAATTAAAAAAATAATAATTAAAAAACCAAAACCTAGTGCTTCTGCAGTCTTTCAACAGCCATTTTTTTTCTTCTTCCTGACTGGTATGCAGTTTCATCTGTTAGGTGTTTCTGGTAGCATAGCATGTACATGAGTAGCTTGTATCAGATCAACCATCAAGACTCACATACTCATAAGACAACCGTTTTACACAAATTCTAGATGTTCAGATAACTGGCATATGCGAAAGAAAAAGGAGAAAAGGGGAAGAAAAGGGGAGAATTAGTAGAGAACTAGATGAGAATTCGGAAAAAGGACAGCTGAGCAGCTGCCTGCATTTCAGCTCAAGAGGGGATTGCACACTCTCATCACTAGAGTAAAAGATCCTTCCTCTTCTGTCCAATGAAGTGGCATCATGTCAGGAGTGTGCAGGGATTTCTATCTCTTCAGCTTTTCCACTAGTTCTCCTTTCAGACATCTCCAAGCACAGTGAGTTTGAGAAACAGTGCTTTAAACCTAAGTCCACTGAAATACAAAGTCAGCAAATTACCTAACTAATTCTAACACTACCTCAAGCAGAGAAGTATTGGTGGTGGTATTATCCATGAAGCAACCATGAATCTGTTCACATCTTCAATTTTCATGTGATCAAATAAGTTGACTCCTGCACCAAATCATGCCTAAGAAAGCCTTTGGCTTAATGCTTGAATTGAAGCACAATGTAATACACATGTAAGTCTCTTGAAAGATACAGTATATTGACAGCTCTTCCTGACAGCTCCAAAAAAAGTCTAGAAGGTTAGAAGTCAAAAAGAACATCTGCACATCCTGGGAGCACAAATTATAAGTGTGTGTATCCACATGCACTTGGAAGAAAATCATCAATCCATTTATTTCTGCTAGTCCATCAACACACTTCTTTTGTCCCAGCTGACCATTCTTTTAATTTGGCTGATTCGTGAGGTATGTGATTTCTTTAGGGCTGATGCCAACTAATTTATTCTCTGTTCTAACGTCTTCATGCTGAGAAAAAAAAGATTTACATGGAAAATACAGATATATTTCCCCATATTTTAACACTTGGAATGTAAGACATAGTCTGTACCTGTGACAAGGTGCTAAAATAAACTAATGAGCTGATAGAGATAAAGCTTAAAACATTCACTAGGGATTCCTGTGTAGTATCTGGAACGTCCCTGGTAACATACACTAAAGAATCCTTATCAATACAAGAAATAGGTGGAAGTGAAATTGAAAGAAAGGGAAAAGGGAAAGAAAGGGGAAAGAAGGAGAGAAAGAGGGAAGGAGGGAAGGAGGCAGGCAGGAAGGAAGGAATCATTTATTTCAAATTTTACAGTCCTGTGACCGAAGTGACAGGGTTTTGAGATCAACTGTACTACATAGGCACATAAGACAAGCAGAAGTAAACCACCTCTCTCTCATAGCTACTTTGATATAAACATAGAGTAACATCATTGAATTTTATGAGGTGATCCGAAGTCATGCCATTAAAAGAAAAGATTTCACTGGCATTCAGTAGAGTTCTCTGTGTATAATACTCCACAACAAAGACCTAGTGACTGGTATAGAGAACCTTCCGGTGTCTACAGCCTTTCTGCATCACATTTTACTATGCTTGTATTCCAGTGACTAAATTTTGCCTTTCACTCCTAATCTGCAGAATGTCATTTATGTTGCAATATCCTCTACACAAGGACACAGAAACCACAGTTTGAACCTGTGACACAATAAAAGAAAAATCTGCTAAAGTTTTTAGGCAATAATCTTCCTTAGGAAACAACACACCATTTTAACACTGCAGTGCAGTAATGAAGAAGTCGATACTCCTGAGATGAATGATGATTTGAATAACCTTGCTTTCAGTTTATAGGGACTTGAAAATGACACAAAGGGAATATTGCAGGAAAAGAGGCTAGCTGATGAAATAGTGAGAGAGAAAAAAGAAAAAAAAGTCTAGATCTGTAATAAAATGCACACAATCAACTTCAATTGCTATGACAGATAATCAAGACCTTTTATACAAAGTAAAGACAGATTTCTTAATAACATAGGCTAGAAGGGACTTGAGTAGGATTTCAAGATACAATCTGCTGCAACTTTTCCTGATTATTTTGGGACATCAACTGTACTAATATTCAATTGAAATTAACAGAAATAGCTGCACAAATACCCATATCAGATTTGTCTGTACAGGCATAACTAGAAGACAAAGTTACTAACTGTAGTGATCCATAATGCAAAATAATGCAACACTGGCCTACATTAATTTAAATACCATAACATTTTCTAAATAACAAAGTATGCATTGATTCTGGGAGTCCAGCATACAGAATTTTACACTGAACAGGACCAAAGGGAAATACAACATGCGAGCAATTCAGGCAGAGATATCACACAAAGTAAAAACATGGTTATTATGTGAGATTAAGTTTCCCTTGGCCATTCATTTTTATTTATTTTACATTTATCAGTTAGAATCAGAAGAGGAAATTAAAACAATATACAAATATATATACAGTATGCTTGTGGTTCCCTACCTTCTTCCTTAACTAAGATGAAATTTATTACTTCTTTCTGTATTTTCCAATTGGGACTACATAGCTAGCTTTTTTAATTTGTCTATTACCAGCTTTAAAATACAGTACAAATTAGTCCACAAAGTTAAATATTTTTGGTTCCTTGGGACTAATCGCATCTGGAACTACTTTTTGCACATCTAGCATAAACAATCCAAAGTTATAAAGATACCTTCACGTTATCTGTGTACTTTCTGCACGTGTATGGCTCAGTAGGACCAAAAATAGGCAACTTGTCAAAACCTTTTGTAATACTTATCCTTTTCAGCCATGAAGATGTTAGGAAGGAGATAGATCTAATTCTTCAACACAAAGCAGACACTTCGATACATAGAACTCATGCACAGTAAAGTATAACTTCTAGTTGCCCACCCAGCAACAACTGGCAAAGTTAGGCCACAACTGTTAGTAATAATATCCCAGCTCATGAAATTTTGAGATATGGCAATAGTCACCTTTTTTTTGTTTCCCAGAGAGGCAGCAATACTGAAATTCCTCTCGCAGGAGGAAAGTTATGCAAAATATTAAAATCTTCACTTTTGCCTCTGCAGTGATTAACAGACTGATGAAGTTATATTAACAGGTAGATGAAGTTATACATGACAGATTAGTTTATTTTCCTTTAAAGAAGATATTTTGCCAGTAGCACATTTCAAATCCTTAATGTTTCTGAGAGATTAACAGCAAGCCTGCAATATGCATGAAAACCTTATCTATCTGAAACGTACCATAATGCATGTAGCAGTTTCCTTTGGTAGGATCCAGCTGAATAGCCTTCACAAAGTACTTTTCTGCCTCAATCTTGCGTCCCTAAAGAAAATAAAGGGGGGAGGAGGGCATTATTTTAACGGTGTGTCACCATGTAGCGATCACATACAGTTACAATTTCCAAATTCCAGGCACTAGAGAAAAACAACTTCTATTATCACTAGGCTTAACCTAAGTAAATATGAATGTTTAAGTGTTACAGCAAGTTTTGTGGTCAGCTACTTGATGTTGCTGTTCTCCAGACTGAGGAAGAAATGTGTCCAACATTGTCAATGTCCAAGAAGTAAGGAAGTGGTAAAAATGTATTGCAGAATATATTGTAAAGGGCTTTGGGTGAACATCAAGATCCACACTACTTTTCTGGACAGGCATCAGGATGAGCATTACAGACCCAAGCTAAAATCAGAAGAGAAGGTAGGAAGGAGGTTTAGTCACGCTTTTTAATAAAAATGGGGGTGAGGTGGGGTGGGGGTAGTTTGGGGGGAACATGTTTCGATTCTATGAAATCACAGAATACCTCAACTTGGAAAGGACCCATAAAGTTCATAAAATCCAACTCCCTCCTTCTTGCAGGACTACCTAAAACTGAAACATATGATTAAGAGTGTCATCCAGATGCTCCTTGAGCTCTGACAGGTTTGGTGACCATGACTCTGGAGAGCCTGTTCCAGTATCTGATAATCAGCTCAGTGAAGAGCCTTTTCCTAATATTCAATCTGAACTTCCCCTGGTGCAGCTTCATTCCATTTCATTGTGTCCCAAATAACACTATTTACATAGCCAACAGTAAAGTCACCGCAAAGAAAGGTAATTATAAATAAAAATATTTTGGATTTCAGTATGGGAAGTAAAAAATAGAAAATATTCATAATCTTAATGGGAAGTAAGATTTCATCAGAAAATAATTCTGTCTACCATAAAACATAATAGAAATTGAGAAGATAACTTTTAAAAGACAATTATCAATGGTATGACAGAACAGACAGAAAAAAAATCAAAATCCCAACACAAATGATAGTGAAAAGAGTAGATATGTTCTATACCAGAGATTTTCTTATCACTGAAATCACCAAGCTACTAACGTTGCAGTATAGTATGTACATGCCAGAGCATGTTCATTAATGGTCGTTACTCTTTCCATGGAGAAACCAGCAATATTGGGATAGCCTATTGTCTGATATCAAACACAAATCACCATCAGCTATTTAGTAAGACATCTGTAACCTGTTTATCTCTATTTCCATGAAATTAGTTGCTTCTGTATGTGTTATAAAATAGAAGACCTCCAGAATAAAGAACAGTTAAGCTTAACCACTGTGGAAGAAAGGCATTGTGGTCTACACCTATCAAGGTTTCCTTGAGTGCTATTTCACAGATATAAGCATATAATCTTTCTCAAGTTTTGTGGTCTGGAAACAGATACTGCATACATCCTGCACTATCCCACAAGTTAAAATAGGAATAATAACGAGGTCTGTTCGCGATTACAGCTGCTCCAGATTCTCAGTATTTCCCTCAAGGGCCTTAGAGACAACAAAATAAAGACAGAGAAAGAAGTTGTGCAGCACACCATGAACTATACCAAGACCAGGCTCCATCCAAAACAACAAAGAGGCCATATTTCTAAGAGATCATCCTGGCAGAGATGTAAGCAGGCTTATAATTTACAATATTTCGGTTTCACAAAATAAATGTTCATTGGAGGTAAGGGTTTAGCTTTATTATTTAGTAAACTTTCTTTGGTAAACCCATATACCTTAAAATCATATCCACATGGCAAAAGGCTCTTATCAAACAAATGGTGCAATTACAGTACACTATTTGATACTGCAGCATCTCTCATCCCTGGTTTGTTTGTTTGACTGATTGGTTTAGTTTTTAAAACAACCCCCTCCCAAACCCATATGACCTGTTGGACAGAGTCCGGAGGAGGACCACAAGCAGAGGGCTGTAGCATCTCTCCTATGAAGACAGGCTGAGAGAACTGGGCTTTTTGAGCCTGAAGAAAAATCTCAGGGGAGACCTTAGAGCTGCCTCCCAGTACCTAAACAGGGCATACAAGAAATCTGGAGAGGCACTTTTTATAAGGTCAAGTAGTGACAAGATAAGGAGAAATAAGGAGGCTTGAAATGAAAAGAGGGTAGATTTAGACTAGGTATTATGAAGTTGTTTACTGTCAGGGGCCTGAGACACTGGCACAGGTTGCTCAAAGAAGTTCTGGCTGCACCATCCATGGCAGTGCTCAAGGCCAGGTTGGATGGGGCTTTGAGCAACCTGGTCTAGTGGAAGGTGTCCCTGCCCATGGCAGGGACAGTTGTGTGTGTGATAATTAAACACTAAAATTTACACATTAAAGTCCAAGGTTGGCATTCGTAGCCTGGCAAAAGTTACCATGACATCTGTGCAGTGCAGCCTTGAGGCTCTGAAATGACAGCACCAAGCATACGAAACTACTAATACTGACAGAACTAGCATGTACAGATTTTGCATCATTGCCTTAAGAAACTAGCATCACTAGTTTTAGCTGGTTGCACTTTGTGTCTATTTCTAGAATATAAAAGGACAGTTCATTGATTATACATAGCTTCTGCCTACAGATCTATAAGTACACAAACATTTGTCAAACATGATTAATTTACATTTACTGTGATCACCAAAACCACATGACTGCTCTACTCTTTTTGGCACTTTTCAAATGGCATATTGCACTTAAGTTCAGGCCAGTCAGGAGACGAATACATAATGATGACAGGTGCCAGCATACATAGCATCAAAGGAATGACTGTGCTATTAACAGTCTCTAATACTCATTAACAGATAAAGGGGATGTCCTGGGTTCAGCTGCAACAGTTATTCTTCCATGACAAGAGAGAAAAATCTTACGTTATATCAGCAAAGATACAAGATGATCTATGAAGATCATAGAATCATAGAACGGTTTGGGTTAGAAAGGACCTTAAGATCATGTAGTTCCAACCCCCTGCCACGGGCAGAGACACCTCCCACTAGATCAGGTTGCTCTAAGCCCTGTCCAACCTGGCCATGAACACTGCCAGGGATGGGGCATTCAGAACTTCCTTGGGCAGCCTGTTCCAGCGTCTCACAGCTCCTTTTATCTAACCTAAATTTCCTGTGTTTTGGGGATTAGCACAGTTCCATATGTTCATGTTGGCCATCTTTTAATATATACAAATTTGTCAAAAAATTAAAAAAAAATAGAATAAAAACATTTTCTTGCAGAATTGCAATTTGAGGAACCTTGCATCACATTATCTAAAATGTCCTCTTTGGTGCCATCTGTCTGCTGCTAAAATGTCAATACCTTGGCATAGATTTAATAACCATTATTTTTGTGTCAAACGATATAAAATCCAACCGCTTATCACAATCAAGCTATTTTACAATTAAAATTTAGCATTTATCAACTTTTTTCAACTATTCAATGTACATCTTAACTACTATAACAGAACGCATACACTGTGTAGTTAAAGACAGCAATCCCTGTCATCCTCCCTTTCCACTGTATGTTTTCAGTGTTATACACATGGCATAAGGGAATAAAATTCCGAGTTTTAAAGAAAATCCAAGTAATTGTTTAAACAGCTGAAAAATAATGATTTGGGGCAGGAAGGCATTTTGTGTGCATGTTCACTGTTACGTGACCCATACAAATGCAGGCATTGAGAGTCTCTGGAAACCTCCCAATTTCTAGCAGCAGGGTGTGCAGTTGTATATGCGCAACCACATGCTTTGGCAATTTTACAAAGCAAAAGAAATCTGCATGATAGCAGACTTATTTGAAGGACAGAAAAGTTACTCATAAGATTTTAATGGAAGGACTTGATGGCTCTGAGGATTAATAATGGGATATGAAATACCTTTCACCCATTGGTCACCAGTTCACATCCCATCCAGGCCAGTAGCTAATGAAAAGGTGCTATCTAATAGCTACTGCTTTGCTCAGGAGAAATGAGTGGGTGGTCCTAGCCCAAGCCCTAATGGAGATCCTCTGCAAAGACGCACTGGCATATTTATGGCTTTTCAGTGCAGAGACCAACAAGACAGAATCATAAAACAATGAATGGTAACCTCATTGCTGGGAAGAAAAAAACAGTAACATAATGAAGACACTTTGACAACTGATTTGGAAGGCTGTGCTGATATTCGCCTTACTGGATCTGGACCTTATTCTAAAGCCTATAATGAGGACAAATATTCAACGGTTTTCCATTAATAAGGAAAACTTTATTCCCCCTCTGTCTAAATAAAGATGAATTTCCCATGATTACTACCTTCCAGCAACAGCATCAAATTTGAAAGGAAAAAAAAGGGAAAGTAACTGACACATGACTCTTATAATTTAGCACACTAGTTGTCCTGGCTTTCAGAAATACCCCACAACTAATGAGACTTCCAATCAGAACAGCTGGTTGCTTGCAGGTTTGGAAGGCAGTTAATTGTTCAAATATGAATTCAGGAGCTTGATTTTTAAGACTAGATCTTTGCAGTTGACTGCAAGGGGTTTTATGTTTGTTGGGCTGCTTTTTTCCTAAAGACAATGCATCTGATCTTGGTAATATGGTTGGACATACTGCTTAATAGGGCTTTCCTACAAAAGACTGTTATGACAAACATGACAAACAAAAGAGAGATAGCTAAGGGCAGTTGATATATTAGTAGAAGGCCAGTATTTATTCTTAAAATATTAAAAAACTGAGGCTAAACCTACCACTTTTATATCCACCCAATTCTTTCTCCATATTGTGTTGGCAAACTGTGCCAAATTCATGTCAAGGCAGCTGTTGTACTCCAGGCTACTGGAGGCCCAAGGACCCTGAGATGCTAGTAAAACTGGGAAAGATTAACACAGGTACGCGGCTCTGAATAACCCTCTTGCGGAAACTATGATGACACAGTGGCAGCCAGTAAGGTGGTTCAACAAACTAGTTGGTCTCTGCAAATTAAAACAAATTATATTTTGTAAATATTCATAATTCTTTAAAGGGTGTGAGGGTTTAACCAGCAGAGCAGAGACTTCACTC